TTTTCCTTGTCCTATCGTCTTCATTCGCCCCCTTCTGCTTCTCCTGCCTACTCCAAGGCGCCGCACTCGTGATGTCCATCTATAATAGGTGATACAAGAGCAATGCATAGCGCTTGTGTCACGATGGCACGTGCCACGTGACTCCAGCATCTTTCAATTCAAGATTCTGACTGATGGCGTCAGCGTCCCTGCGAGCTCATCATCACGCATCCAAGCGCCTTGACTGATCAAGGTTAAAGCTGCATTCAAGATTGATATCGATCAAGGACGCGAAGGTGATTTCATACAACAATTCCGACACAGGCTGATTCACGATTTGTGATAGCAAATAAGATGCCGCTTCACTGCCCGACCAATAGCGCACTCTGATGCACGGCCATCAGACCCGATCTTCGGTGACCGGGCTGTGCAGACGAAGCCAGGAGTGACGGAGGACGGTCGGATGCATCGTGCCAGCTATGCTCCAGGACGTGGACCGATTGCCTTTCCGGAATCGCCTTTATTCGCAAGGCGAGGATGGCACTCGAACGTCAGCTTGTGTGTGACCGCAGGTGGTCAATGCAGCAGCCTCGAGTTGCAAGCAAGCACCCACTCACTCTTGATCGTTTGACCGGTAATGTTGTCATCCTTGAGCAGGTAGAGATACGTCTGAGCCACATCCTCAGGATGGCCGACTCTCCAGGTAGGCTGCTTGCTCGCCTCCTCCAGCAAGTAATTCTTCATCTCAGCTGGAAGCCGCTCGAACAGCTCCGTCAAAGTTGCACCCGGCACAACCGCATTGACGCGAATACGTCTGGGCGAGAGGTCGAGTGCGAGACCGCGGGCTAGACCGTACAATCCAGCAGCCAAGCCGCTCATGATCTGCACGACGAGGCATGATGAAGTGCTCGTCTTAGCATGATCTCATCTCGACACAGCGTGGTCCGCGACAGGATGCCACGGCAAGACACGCCACGCCAGGACTCGACTCACCCCGAGGCCCGGAATCGGCTGGTCAGCATTCGTGCCGCTGGTAAAGACGATGCTCGAGTGCGGTTTGAGATGAGGAAGAGCGGCCTTGATGGCAAGGATGACGGAAAAGTACCTGACGCTGCTCCTCTCCACGATGGACTGATAAGTGACTTCCTCCAAAGACAGAGGGTCCAAGCTATCTCCAGCCGAGTGGATCAGTCCATCGATGGGTCCGACTTTTGCGAAAAAAGTATTCAGCCTACTCTCCACCTCTGGGCCGAAGAGATCCAGGGCGTGGCCCGAAGCGCGAGAAGGGTCGGCATTGAATTGCTGCTCCGCATCACTCAGCTTCCGAATCGCTTCTTCCACTCGAGCTGAGCCAGAACTGCTTACCACCACCGATGCTCCTTCTTCGATCAGCGCACTTGCGACCGCGAAGCCGATGCCGGAGGTGCCACCGAGCAGCACATACTTTTTGCCCGCCAATTTTTGGGATGTCTTGGGTGCCGCTGGCATTGCGAAGGCTTTCGGAAGGCAACGGTGGTCTGAAAGGGGCGATGGAGATCGACGCTGAGTGGGCTGGATTGAGGTTGTTTGTTCGTGATGAGGTGAGAAGTGATGGAGCCACATCTTACCACAATCTTGAACGTGCCCCTCTTATACTTTTGCTTGATCCATCCACGCACATTGTACGCCTCGATACGTTGTGCCACATTGCCATTACCCACCGACTCTGACCAGGAAGAGCCGTGGTTGATGCTTTCAAACGCTCGCAATTCGATATGCCCGACGTGATGAGTTAGCTTGTGACACCACCACCACTACTACTACATCACGACGCAACTTCTGATACGAGGCACGCCGGCGTGCTTCAACGAGGGCCAAGGTGTTGGTGCACTTTGCCCCATCTATCACCGACGAGAGCGTAAATGGATGGAGGCATGGATACTCTGACTCGCTGATAACGATGGTCGCGTGCAGGACTGGGACGCATGTACCTACATACATAAGGCCGGCGGCACAAGAAGCGCGGGCGGGCAAAGGTGCGGAGCGGACCAGCAGCTCACGCTGCGGGAGTTGCATTCTCATTCTTGATTAAGTCCGTAACGAGAAGTGACTAATTTTACGAGCGAGTCGGCATACCGGCGACGCGTGCTCGAACGCTTCATTCACGTGATTGAGTAGTACGCTACGCCCCGATGCGCCATTGGAACATCGCGGACGATTGATCGGTCGTGAGTGTAGGTGAGAGTGATGAGTCAGCTCCTGCACCCACAACTTGCACATTCACGACTGCGATTGAGATTGAGATGGAATCGGGACGCTAAAGACTCGAATGCCTGTAGCTGCCTCGGTGTTTGAGCTCACAACAAGTCTTCAGTCGATCAGACGCTAGTCCGCTCTCAAGCGCGGTGGCCCGCAGTTTGCCGCTCGAATTTGTCATCTTTCATGCATCGACGATGATCACAAGCGAGCGAGCGCGCCGCGCGGGGAATGGGTCGGTCATACCATCTACAAAGAGAGTTGCATGATCATGCTGGACAAGCAAGCACGCTGATGAGCGCTGCGTGATTGAACACGTCAGAAGCACGAGTTTGGCTTGCGAGACGCGGCGAGTACCCGATCGGAGCGCCTTCGGATCTAGCAGCTCGCATGTGCGCACCCCTCATCACATCAGGTCGCTGCGCCTGGCAACGCCAATCACGATCCCTTTTCAGCCGACATGTCCCACACGCTTCACATCCACCTCGCTTCAGCTCTTTACCCCTACATCACATTCGCCTCGGGAATCCGTCGGAGTACAGTTCGAAACTTTGGCAGCGCCTCGACTAAGACCGATCAACAAAGGTCCGTGCAGTTTTGGCCCTCGTGCTGCACTACCAAGCAAGCATCCTCCGCACACTAGGCCGCAGAGACGCTCTTGCGGTCATCTCCGGCGTCTGAAGTGTTTCCGGCAGTTCCCTTCGCGTCGTGCCCAGTCTCCGGTTCGTACAGATCAGCCTCAAATCCGGCTCTGTCGCGAGGATTGCCAGATCCATGAACACCGTGCAGGTCTGCAGGTCTATCTTGAGGCAGAGCGTAGTTGGTCGTGTCGAAGTCAACGCGGTGCAAAGAGAACTCCCTTCCTTGCACACGAGCGAAGAGCCACTGAGCGCCAAAACGAGCTCCACCACTGGCCAGCGACCATCCTACAGAGCCAAGTGGTGCAGCGAAGAAAGCCATAAGCACGCTGTAGTCGTCGCCGCCGACGTAAAGACCCTGGGGTAGGATGATCAAGTCTCCGCCCGCCTTTGCGTCTCCGTGGTAGTAGATGGTCCCTGCTATGAAGACAGTGAAGAAGCCTCCGCAAGCCCCGATGAACCTGGAGGAGGCAGACGATGCGAGGGGAGTAAGCGCCGAGCCGAGAATCGCATCCGTATGAAAAAGTTTCATGCACTCACACATCGAGGCCATTTAGCCACCATAGCTGGGGGATCAAGCCGAGCAAAGTACCAGGCAAGACTGCTGCAGCACCGAGATCCGCAATCAGGAACACCTGCAGAATGTCGACATTTTTTACGGCAAGGACCACGGCAGGGACGTTGAGCGCGACGAGGATTAACCTACACCACCAGAGATTGACGCGTCCAAGCACTGCATGGGAGAAGGCGCATGTATCAATTCCCGTTTCACGTGTCGAGGTGCAGCGGTCGAAGAGACTTACAGACGTCATTCTCAATAGTCGAAATCTGAGCGCTCTGGAAGGTGTCGTACGCCTGTTTCCAAGGAAACATACTAGATTAGCAAGATGCACTGTTACATGGACAGACACGTCAACGACTCTCTCGACCCAGTCACTGACAGAGCTTGTGAGTGCGCCGGCGAGAACAAGCACGATGCCTTGGACCCAATTCGGCAAAGTGGCGATGATGTAGAAGAAGTTGGAAGAGCCATCATCCTCCGGAGTGATGCCGTCAAAGAGTCCGGCCCATTGGGCCAGGGGTCCAGTGATGCCGACCAGGAAGCAGATGGCGAAGAGGGGTAGAGTAGCGAGAGCTACGGACAGGTACAGCGTCTTGTTCGTCTTCGACGCAAAGGCGCGCTGCCAGAAACCTATTGTGGGACATGACGTAAGAGGAACGTCATTAAGAAATGGACTCTGAGATTCGAGACGTTCACCAAACGTACCCTGGTTGAACATTTGCGAGAAAATGAGTGCGGCAGGCAAGATGAAGAAAAGCTGGCCACCCAAGCTGTGAGCCTTCAGCAGACCACTGTCATCGATTCGCTGCTGATCGAGCTCAATTCGAGTACCGATCGCTGCTCCACCAATGGTAATGAAGATGAGGATGATGATTGACTGCACATTGTCCGTCCAGAGGGACGCTTGGAATCCACCATACGCTGTGTAGATCGTGGTGATAATCGCCACAATTAGGGCTGCAATCGTCGGATTGACTCCTCCGAGGGTGGATACGACGCTACCGTACGTGTTGAGCTCGACCAGCATGAAGCAAAGCATGAAGGCGACAAACTGTGGACAGATTCAACGGGGTGGCGCAATGTCAGCTGATCACTTTCGACGCGCCTGTCTTCTCTTCTGCATGCTTTCGAGCCCACTCACGACCACTGCGATGAGGACACCAACGGGCCAGCCGAAGCGTACGCGCACATATTGAGCCATGGTGAAGCCATCTGGGCACAGCTTTCGCATCTGCGGTCCGAGCCAAGCAAAAAACCAAAGAGGGGCGACTGTTGCGAAGGCGTACGCCGTAAGTCCAAGAATTCCTGCGTCTGGAATAACGGCAATTTGTGGATAGCCAAAGAATAGCGAGGAGGACATGTCTGTAACGCAAAGGACAGTAGAAGTGGGACGCAATCAGCTTGACTGTGCAAGCCCGCACGTGCGGGCAGATTCCCTTGCGCCGCGCTCGGCATGCCTGAACTGTCTTGAGTACAGCTGCGAAGCGATTTCCCAAATTGGTGACACTCGGCTTGCCGGCACGGCACTTGGGCAGAAGGAATAGGGCAGCTTCCCGTCGCGAGCATTATCTCGATCCGGTTTGAGCCGATTGGATGTGCGGTACCCAAGGTCAGCGGGCAAGCGATTTCGTACGACCAAGCAAAGCGACCATGATAGGGAGCGCGGAGCTTGTGCGACGCGTATCATCTTGAGCTGACCTATGGGCCACTCCAATGGCGAACGGTATGATCTCAGCAAGCCCGAAGATGGCGCGCCAGAGCGAGACCGAGAGAGGCTGCGGCCTGGCACACCAACTTCCAGCAAGCACCCGTAGCTGATGCTCCGGCTGGTGAGTGCAGTAGGTGGGTCGAATAGTGCGACTTGCCGATTTTGTCACGAGTTTGATCGGCGTGGGCAGGGGTGGCGTCGTTGCCGCACACTCCCCTCTGGCCATCTGACCCCACCGAGCCGGAGTAGGAGTACTTTGGGGTCTGGTTTTGCTGGACAGCGAGATCTAACATTACCGATGTTGTATGCATTTGCGCGGTGCAATTTCCATTTGCTCTGATCCCTTGGACGGGCGCTCCAAGCGTCTGCTCGTTGCTCAAACTAACTGCTTGCTATCCAGTTCAAAGTGAGTGGCAAGGCTGAGAAGGCCATGTGAGCGTGAGCTGACTGCAGTCCAGACGAATGAGGCATGCCACTCCTCATCCTCTGCTCACCGCTCTGCGTTCGAACACCTCCCAAGAATTGATTCTTGTTCTTGACGCTGTAACCCGCGTACAGGCCCACGAGCATGAAGCCGCACAGCGTGGAATACACCAGCGCATTTGCTTGATGGACGCTCAACATTTTGCGGCAAGATCGAGAGAGAGAGAGATGGAGGGAAGAGCGGAGATATGGGAAGGGAGAGATGTGAGGGTGAGGAGCAAAGGGTGAATGACGCCAATCGTCGGCGAGTGTGATGAATGCAGGGAAGAAAAATGTCTGGAAGAAGGGTCAGTCAAGCCTTGCGGGCCAAAGGAGGATGCGGTCAAGAAAGCCACGCGGGCCGATCGCTCCTCTCTCACCTCAAAGGAAGTCAGACTGTTGTGGCTGCTGCATGTGGCCAGGCTCGCCCATATGCGCACCAAAGATGCAGGCACACCCGCCACTGAAGCAGCTGCTGGGATCGAGGCATCGCGGCAGATCTTCAGCGGCGGAGCCTTCACCAATGGCAATCCACGTGACAGACTACGCGAGATATCCTTCGGCCGAACACACCCAGCAGACCAAAGAGGCGCCGGCGTGCGCAGATCACGAATCACTCGAGAGTTGTTGCAAGATTCACATCCTATTGGATGGGCGAGGCGGCCACTCTGAGTGTGCGCGTTGTCCACCATCCGTTCCAAGATCGATTCGCAGACACGCCTTTGTAAAGCATCAGATATCTTGAACAGCTTCATCGCGGAGCTGTGCCGGCACGCAAGCTCGATAGAGCAAGAAGCTCAATCATCTGACTGCATACATGCTCACTTCGCCGGAGACTCACGATCGTGTAGCGCCTTCACCTTGTGACGGCTCTCGCACATATCTCCTTTCGCTCTGAGGGAGCTGCATCAAGATGCCACAGTCCGCAGCACGGCTCAGCGCGAACGAATCACAGCCGTCTCCGTCCCAGAACGAGTCGCGCTTTTCGCAAAGATCAGCAGTTGAAGCGCATCAAAGTGCCAATCAGCTGGGCTCTTCGATGTCAGAGCAGCTGCAGCGTGACACGCAAGCCCTCTTGCACAGCTCCGAGAGCCTTGGTAGCCTGCTTCAGAGTCAGACTTCATCCATTCCCGACTTGGTAGATTGGCGCCTCCCAGCGCACTCACCTCTGCCCCTCACCGACAGCTTCGGCCACAGCAGCTCGGGCATCCCGGATGCCCGCAATGCGCACTCACAATCCAGCTTTGGCCCCTCATCGCAGGTTCCGTCTTATTTAGCTTGTTCTCTGGCTCCTCTCAATACTCTTGGCGGATCGCAGCCGCAGTCTTCGAACCAGCTGGCAGGGCTACCACAGTCCAGTACAGCTGCTTCCCAAAGCGCTCTCGCTAGCGTCAAAGCAAGCGATCTCCGCAAATTGGTCTTCTCAGAAACGCACAGGCACTTGGTGGCTTTCGGAGAGCGGCTAGATGGTGTAGCCCGCGATATGGCGGCTCATCAAACGCAATTGACGCATGCACAGACAGAAGCTTGGACATCGGCAAAGGAAGACATCGCCGCTCTGGCTACTCATGGTAAGTCACGTATGGCCTAGGAAGATGACCCTGCTCTGATCAGGTGCCGCGTAAATGCTTTCAGTCAAATCAAAAGGGGCCGCCGAGGGTGGCGGCATTTCAAGTCGCAAAGAAGCCGATCCTGCAGCTCTGCGAGCACTCAAGAAAGAAGTGTCAACCGGATTCGCCGATTTGCACGACCTTCTGGCCGAGGTGCAGAAGTCAGTCAAGATTCATGCAACGGCCTTGAAGAAATCTAACAAGCACGAGCAGGTGAGTCGAGTCGCTCTGAATGCAGAAACTTTCAGCTTAAGTGCTGTGATTGTCCGCGAGCTCAGTCTCTGAAGGAAATTCTGGAGAATCAACGCAATCAGCAGCTGCGCGACGAAAGCATTCAAGGAACTCTACATGATATTCAATTGGCACTGCAGAGCATTAGCCAGACACAAGCCGCGCAGAGCGACGCATTCGCGCCCCTGGCCAGCTTTCGCGGTCTTGCCGCACTGCTTACTTCTTTGCCAGCTCAATTGAATCATCACGTCGATCAAATACGATCAGTGGCTCGCAGTGATTTGGCGGTCGTTCCCCCTGCATCTACGGAGCTCCGATCTGCAAGCTATGCTAGACCAGACTCGATACCTCCGGAAGTCTTCCGAAATCGTGCTTCAGCGGCAACAGGCAAAATCACCCTGCCAAAGGCTGTAGACGCAGTCAGTAACCGCTCCAACGGCATAACGGCCACGGCCCCAGGCGCCTTTCGATCTGTCGGTCAGGATCCTTCCTTCAGTAGGTCAAGTCGTAAATCGCAAGCTGGAGCTGGAGCTGACTGTACGTATGCCTCGCCTTGCGCAGGCCGACGACAGCCCCGCAGGCTGTCACGCAGAGCAACGTCGGTGGTGCTAGTACGTCATCAAAAATTGCTCGAACCGTCGAGCAGCAAGAGCCGCGACAAAGAGAACACACCTATCAAGCCTCTGTCGAGTGCTCCACGCGATGTGCAGATCGTGCGTCCCTCGTCTCACTCAATTCTCGGCTGACGCATTCACTGATTCGGCTAATCCACCATTTCCCACGCAGTCATCGAGCAAGAAGCGTCGCATCGTCCTTTCAGAAGACGAGAATGACGCACAGTAATCACATCAGATCTGCAACGCTCTTCTCGAAGAGCGGCTCATGAGACACTATCAGTCGCTATCGACCACGAACACCAACCGCAGATCTGTATGCGCATCAATTGAATACCGGCATGGTGCGCCTGTTCCACTCAACGACAGCACTTCCGTACTATTCGTACTCACCACCCAGGAACCAATCCCCCAGCTACAATCACGCCATGATCCACGCGCAAATTCCTGTGATCGTACAGCAAACCGATCGTAGAGTCTTCAAACGGGACGTTTCATGTGAAGCTCGAGCCGAGTGCCAAAGACGTGAGCAATCATGTGAAATTCCAGAGCAGGAGAGTGCGTGACATAGAAACAACAGACGGTGCAAAAACAGTCTAAGGGTTGAGCGAGCGCTAGGATAATCCCGAAGCATCCGCCTTTTCTTTTGGACATGCAAGCGGTGACGATTAGGAGAGGAGACGGTGTGCGATCTCAATGATCACGACGAAGCTGAGCACTTGCGCTTGACCAGCATCAGTGCTTCTCGTCCGAGTGAGAGTGAGAGGGGGAGTGCGTCTCTTCGTCATTGACCTGAGGACGAGCAGGCTGCGTGCCGTTAAGGTTCAGCTCGTCAGAGACGCAATTTTGGGTGTTGCCAAGCTTAAAGTTGGTGACGAGAAGACTGGCAAGGATGGGCACCGCGCTGAGAACGAGAGCGACGATGAGGACGATGTGCATGTAATGCGACCACGCGCGGATGACGGCATCTCTGCGAGGGTCGCCCAGCGGCCAAGTGATTCCCAAGGGAGAGCCGAAAGCGGATGTGATTTCGGCTGCAGAGACGCCCAGAGGTGACAATTCCTGCGCAAGGCGCGGTTGCAGGACGTGGAGCTGAAGGGCTCCGAGCACTGCTGTGCCGCACGCGCCTCCGATTTCGGTGAATAGCAAAACGAAAGCAGTGACCATGGCAACAAGCTGGTGACGAACCGAGATTTGAGCTTGCACCTGAAGACTGACACCCATTAGACCGCCACCAAGACCCTGCAGGACCTGGCAGATGACGATTTGGAAAGTGGTCGACATGGCATCTCGGTATCGCACCATCAGGCCGAGACCGAGGAGACGAATGCAAGAGCCAGCAGTGAGAACCCACTTGTTGCGCTTGGTCGCAAGACTGAGGAATCCAGCTGCAATGCCAAAGACTGTCAAGCAGAGACTTTGAGTGTTGCTGAAGTAGGTAGCGTCGGAAGCGTTGTAGTTGTAGGTGATGAAGACCCAAGTGAATGCGGGGGTCCAGCTGAGATAGAATGCTGCGAAATCGAACCATCCGATGAAGAAGGCTGGGAGAGCGACATTCTTGTTGAGGAGGAAGGCCTTCGGGATGATGGGCTTGGGTGCGAGGAGCCATTCGTATAAGACCAGGCCGACCAAACAAACGCCACCGACGACGAGCATAGTGATGATGTGAGCAGCACTCCAGTGTGAGGCAGTGAGGGCCGAGAGCTGAAGGGCGAGAAGGATCAAGACGAAGCCGGCAGCGATGAGCACCAAGGCTGGAACATCAATGTCGAAGAAGAAGGACTTGATGGCGCGCAGCACGGGCATGTGGCGGTACGGGTGAGGAGCGACCAGGCCTTGCTTTTTCGCCTGGCGCTGACTCAGAGCCAGGGAGAAGATGACGGGAGCGGTGGCGACAGGCAAGAGGATGGTGAACATGCCAAAGCCCCATCGCCAGTCCTCGTTCGTGGTGCCAAAGGGCGCGAGCTGAAGGACCACGCGTGGAGAGACGGCAAAGTTGATAATGTAAGGGGCGGAGAGCAAACCGATGGCAGCACCTCTCCACTTTGTGGGCGTAATGTCCGCAAGAACAATCTGCTGCATGATCTGAAGACCGGTAGATCCAAAAGCATAGAACACGGTTCCCACCACGATTGCAGTGAAGCCCGGGCAAGCGGCGAGGATGATCAAGCCGAGAATGTAGAGCAGGACGGAGAAGATGTAGCCCTGTGCTCTGCCGAAACAGTCGCTGAGCTTGGCGACTGGGAACTTGAAGACGGCGATGCAGACTTGCTGAATGACTTGAATGGAAGGATACAAGCCGTACTGGCCGAACTGATTGGTGGCAGCTGTGAGGTAAGCATAGCCCGTGCCGTTGTCGAGCGAGTTGACGTAGGAAGCCAAGGCGAGACCGAGAAAGGCGAGGTAGAGCTTCCAGCCAGCGACTTCGCGCGCTGCTTCGGCTACGACCACGCCTTGCTGCTTCCTATCCGCCGTATCCACCGAGTCCGTCTCGTCCTCCAGAAAAGCAGACGGCGGTTCGTAAGGGGCGACAGTGTCACCGGCGGGCGCACTGGACACCTCCGGCGAGG